CATCAATGATGATTTGTTTTTTTGCCAAAGAACAGTATTTGATCCTATTTTTTCCCAAGAATGTAAAGATAAGGTTGACATGTTTTACTTTAACTATTTTTTGTGAGAACACTTACATCACTGTAATATGTATAATGATAACACCCTGTGGCACCTGCTAAGACAGATTATTTTTCAAAATTAATGGTCCCTGAAAATTTACAAGCAAACATGCCACTGTCCACATCTGATTAACAGTGCCCAAAAGTGACAAAGGAATTTCATTGTCGAAAAGATAATATTCTTTAATTCGGCGTATGGCCCTCTCCACATGAATCCGGACTTTGGCTATGGTTTTTGTTTCTTTGACTTCCTCTGGTGAAAACTGTGCACGATTTAAAAGATATGGTGGAAGGTTTAGCTTTACCCCTTTACTACATAATAGATCATGAACATTAAAACCCTTATCAGCCATCACACTATTACTAGGCTCCAAAAGATCTAAAATTCCACAACACTCTGTGATCTCTTTATCTGAAATAGAACCAGTGTATAGTGAGGATACAAGTAAACAAGCTTATTTTTTCTCACCTTCACTCAGAAATGTTTTATTCGCTACCATTCTGGAAGCTACATTGACCCGACTATCATCGCCTAACAATATCAACTTAAAAAATAGACAAAACCGGCGTTGAAAGGGAGTTTAAAAAAAATGATATGACATACCAGTTGGCAAAGTGCGGATTATAAAAACACGAAAACACAGGCAAATATGGAGCTTTCCAACACATCAAATACATCAGTAGGTCTGCAACTATTACAGTCGCTCTTTTTGAGAGTTCTCAGTGGATAAAGATCGTTTTGTTCCGAAACAAAGAAGCAAGTAGAGAAAATATTTCTGTCACTTCCCTTTCGTAGTCTCAACCGTAGCAACCGATTTGTTTGCCCTCCAACATGGCGGAAAAGATCACGTGACTTCTTAGTGCAAGGAGCCTATTACACTAGCAAGATCAGGGCCAATCGTAGTTAAGTACTGATTAAATTGGTTAGCAATGTCGAGTTCATTAGTGTAGACCTTACTATTTCTTATGATCCTAGAAGGATAGTTTGATTAAACTTTGGTTTTCCTGTAAATGATTGCACCTATAAGCTTCCATGTTTCTTTCAGATTTTCTTTGTACAGCTGAAAATGTTTGTTATAATATTTATCTTTGGCTTTGGCATTTATTTTGTTAAGAAGATTGGAGTATACTTTGAACTCTTTTATCTTCTTTGAGTTCTTGCTGTGATTTATACATCCTTTGTTTCCTTAAGGGCCTTTTAATTGATTTTAAAGCCCTTGTGTTAACCAAGGTTTGTTGAATTGTTTCATTTTAGAATTGGTTACTTTTTTTAAAGGGCCATGCTTATTGACAATATATTTCACTTTGTTTATATATGCATTAGTTATCTCATGAAGATCAGTGGAGGTGGAATATAAACCTGGCCAGTTAATTTGGCTGAGGTCAGCTAAATATTGCTCTTTACAAAAACTACTGTAATCTCTATAATATGATTTTTGCTTGTTTTTAGAGGTGGTTTTTATGGGGTTATGAATGCAATAACTCACTATAAAAATTAAAAAGAGGAAGAAAACTTTTCTTAAAGGCACCCCTTTGCCAGCAAACACTTTGTTTCATATGCAAGATGGAACAATTTTGATGCCAACAAGTCTGATTTGAACATCAATCTTTTGCCTTTTATAATTTAA